GTTGGTAAATCATAAAAAACAAAATCAGTCATAATAATGTTGACAAAGTGAATGTGTACTGCTTTGTCTTCAAAACAAATAAATGCAAACAGGCATACCTGAGTCTTATGTTTTCAGAGAGAAATTGTCAACACGATATTAAAATTCCTTTTAAAAAGACACCAATTTAGGTGCCTGAAATTTTATTAGTTTGAGCTTGTCATGGTTACCTCACCTTGTCTGTCAGGATGCCTGGTAGGTGTCATATTTAGAACTATAAAAGGAACTGACAAACTCTTTCTCTTTCTGCTCCAGAGATGGAATAGCAACAACACAGAGTTTGTTGCTAACTACTTAATTTTAAAGAAACCATGGGAATATCACACTACTGTTAAATACACGTTTTCTTTTTTTTTTCAGCTATCTCTAAATACACAAATATAATTTTCTGTTTTTTGTGAGTTGTGTTGTTCTTTATATAAATACATGTATAAAATCTTCCACATGTTGAAATTCATTTCATTTGAAAGTTTCCACCTCAGTGGTAACAGCTCCCAACTAGAAATTGGTGACCAACAGCAACCTTGTTCATTACAACCCTGTAGCACCCTCTTGGCTACAAGCTTTTGTAGCTTTACATACATAGATTTATGCTCTATATATTCTTTTGAGAGTCTGATTTACACACTGTATTCCGTGAAATCTTATTCATACCCATTGGCTTACTTTCTTTTTATTTTGCTAAGAACGGTTACCAAAGGTGAAAAGAGAGTCTTTATAACATTCAAAAATATTTCATTTTCAAAATTCATATCTGACCATAGCTTTAAATATAATAAATATTAAGAGAAAAAAAATCCAAAAAAGAAAGGAAATTGGAATAGACAGTGTTTTTCATTTAAATCATTTATTTTTGACATTAGCAATCAACCACAAAAACCCATTTTACTCTTTAAACAATAAGATTTCTATGATCTGACTAATGGCAGCTGTTATTTCCTAAGCTTAGAATATCCAGATAGATTTGGAACTAGAATAATTGCTTCTTTAAGGAAGTGCATCAATTTGACAGTCAGGATGAAGATGGGAAGAAACTAAAGATGCCCATATTCCATTGGATCTGCCATAGTAAACCTGGAATTCAGTTGGGGGGAAAGGAAATTAACTTTTTTTTTGCTAGTCCCAACAACAATGGGATCTCACATTCAAAGAGGGGAAATTGAAGAACCACAAAGATTAGACAAAATTTGGAATCTAATCAGAACAATGATAACTGCTGATTAAACACAGATTCCAGGAAGAACAAATGTCTTGGAGGCAAAATACTGTTGGACATTTTGCTTCATGCGGCTGCTTGTGGTATTCCAGCAGTAAATATAGGAAATTAATTTCTGTGAAGTCACTTGTCATCAGTGAGTGGTTTTTAAAGAATTTTTTAAGTTAAAAAATTTGGGGAGAAATTTTCTTTGTCATTAATAATTCTTATTCTGAGCCAGACAGATAAACACTGTAAAGATATGTAGAATTCCTTGTCATTTATATGACAAATGATCATGCTATTAGATTTAGAGAGAAAAAAACATCAACCTCCATTTTTCTCAGATTAGCAAAAGTTGTAGTTTATTAATCTTCAAGGATAAAAAGAAAAAAATATATCAGAAATATTGATGGGATGGGGATGGCATATTGCATATTGGCTTAGAATGAGAAACTGGAAAACCAGGTTTGAATTCCAGTCAAGTTCAGTGCATTCACTTATGCACAAATACATTTGGGAAAGTTTTCTTCTCCCACCAGCTAAGACTTAAATAGCAGGTTATACTGGGGTCTCTAGCCATAGTTGGCAACCAGTGAAGGAGAAAGACAACTCTGAATTCAAAATCATAATGACTAAATCATGGGTTATCCTTTGACAAGACATAGCATCTGGAAGCAATACCCCACTGCCAGGGTTACAGTGAAGACATCATCAGCTGCATGTTGGGTGTAGTCAATAGTAGAATCTAACAGACCAGATTTTGTATACAGTGACATGCAAAAGAAGATCCTATGTACTGGATAATGAATGAGACTTAATTATTCCAAGTTAGATGAAAACTCCAGGAATAATATATAACCAACCGAAATCCTTATGATGACACATGTAAACATCATCAGAAAGAAGTCTGTGGATGCTATGGGGGGTTCACAATGGAGAGCCTAGTTAGCTGAAATATTACTTTGGAAGAATTTTGTATGTATTTTAATAGCTGACAAACAATTCAAACTGATTATCAATAAAACAGTTGTTAATTCATTTTTCTGCATATTTACTGAATATATATTTGAGTCAGTTTAAATTTAAAAATTGTGCACTTAATCTATTTATCAATAATTTGCATAGGGTACAAAAGTTTAATGTAATATTAAAAATGCACATTTGAAGAAATTATTTAAGGAATAGTTGCTATGTTTTAATGCAATCTACAATGATTCTCTGGCCATATCATTCTTTCTCCCATGTTTTTAGTAATATTTATGTTTTGTCCTTGATTGAGTGCTGAAGAGTGAGGCACAATAACTGGATGATTTTTTTCTGCATGCATGCATGACACTAATCAAAAAGTACATGATCATTTTCTTTAAAAAAAAAAAAAAAAAAAAAAACCTGTCAACTTTGATCTTCAAAAATTTAAATGCAGTCTTTTATTGTTTTCTCTCTTTAATAATGTTTGTTTTCCTCATATTATCATGCACTCAGTAACCCCTTGCATCTTAGTGATTTTGTTACCTTGCTTGGGGTGAAATGATTAAAAAGAAAATTTTATAGAAACATTGACAAACTCTCAATGCAGAAGAAAATGACAAACTCTGACTAGTACATTTGAGCATTTTAAGAACTTAAAAACTAATTTATACTAAAAATTAGAAAAAAGAAAAGTTAACGTTTACTTGAAAAGTTAATACTATGAAGTCTTAAGTCCTTTGTGTTGCTACTCAGTTCTCCTGCATAGTCCCTCTTTCTAAATGGAGTCATTATGTAGCCTGGGTATTCCGGATATGTTAATTAGTTAATCTACATATCACTACAGTTATCATAATATCAAGAAGGTTTTGAGCCTGTTATATACTTTACCTATGAACATTAATGTGTATGTCCCAATCCTCATAAATACATTGAACACTATTGTAAGTGGGGATAATATGCTGTTTAAGCTGGCAGTGTGAGCTGTCAGCATGGGAAGCTCTTGTCCGGGATCCTCTCTGCCTTTGGGCAGAGAGGATCCCGGACAAGGCTATGCCAAAGGGCAAAGTCTCATCCAGGGAGGTAAACATACCTGAGCTCACATATGTGGAGTCTATGGGCAATTTTTGCCTGAGCCCAGATTGCCCCACATTAAATGGCCTTGTGCTGCATCCTACCTTGTGGGGAGGCAGGTAAATATTGTAATATGCTTTCTAAACAGTCCACTACTAGCAGTGGTTTACTTACTTCACGCTGTTGATGAGTATTGTATTTTGTTGATGTTATAAAGATTACCATTTCCAACCTCTGTTTTGGTTATTCCTTATTCAGCAACCTTTTATAGGTTACAACAGAGCCCAGCCAAGAAACTTTATGTTCATTTGACCAGATTTCAGGAAATGGGCCTGGAAGAAAATTTTTCAGCACCCCCTTGTATTTGGCATAGTATTCCTCAATGGAAATTAAGAAATGTACATGAAAGCCTACATAAGCAAAATTAAATACAGAATAAATAAAAATAGATAAAGAATTAAATACATTGTGTTTAGTTATGAACCTAGAACTAAAAAATTAAGATGATCAGATTTCTAAATAAAGCATAAAAGAACAAAATTTGGAATTTGTGAGTGGATTTGAATTGAGAAAAGCAAATCTAATATTCTCCTAACAAACACCTGGTGTTTATAAGGTAAAGTAAATCTTGTGAAGACATGCTGTTAGAACTTAAGAAATTGCCCATGACTGTATGTATTCTATTACCACACTGATGTCAAGTTGGGCAACAACTTTGAAACCAAATAAAAATAAACTAGCTTTACCGACTCTTTTGTAAATGCTAAGCTAAGAACTACTGAATTACAACATGAATAGATTTAGAATAATAAATCTGTTGCAATGTCAGAAATGAAAAGACTTTTGGCTACATGAAAGAGAAAAAACATTGCTTTAGCTACAAAATGACTAGTAATCCTTAAAATTTAGCAATTTCTTTTCAAAACAAAAATAATAACTACGAATTTACAGTAGAGACTGTAAAAAAAAAAAAAAAAAAAAAAACAAATGTCAAAAGAAATACATAGGTGAAACATGTAAGAATTTAGATAAATGAATATATGAACAGAAAAGGGATCTAAACAACAAACTCAGTACATTAGTTAGTCATCATAATAATTCTAACCATCATTTTGACTTAACCCCTTACCTGGCATAGACATGTATATATGTTTTTACCGAGTGGCTTTTTCAAACACGGATGAAGAAACATGTTCAAAACAATGTTTAAAAAACATCTACAGATGTGTTTATATATTGATCTTGATAAAAATATTCATCTAAAAATGAAAGATTTTTCCCTCCAAAATAATTGGTGGGGAAGGGGTTAATGCAGTTTTAATTAAAAGAAAAAAATGAGATGAAAATCCATAGAAAATGCACTAATCTCTGAATCTTCCACAGTAAGTTTACATCCAGGATCATGCAGTATGTCACCTTTCTTAATGAAATTACTGTTGTTACATTGTGGGGATATTTAACATTGATTTATTGTTTTCTACAGCTTATCAAAACTTTTTAGGTTATTTAAAGCCAGAAAATGTTTAGATAGTAAGTTTTTTTTTTTTTTTTGAGATAATAATGATTTGATGATACAAGTCTTACTAATTAACCTATAGATGGCTTCATACCTTTCCCAAGGATATTTGCATGTATAACGAACCCAACTGGAATTGGAACTCAACTCCCTGATTAATAATTCCAAGCCATTATCTATTAGATCACTCGTACATCCAAGCTTAGCGCACCTGGTATTTCCAAGCAGTCACCCATCCAGTACTGACCATGTTCAATATTGCTTAACTTTGATGATCGTATGGGAACTGGTGTTTCAACGCAATATGTTTGTAAGCTCAGGAATATTTAAAAACAATAAAAACAGAAATGGCAAGAATCTGAATGGAGTCGATTTGGTTGTGTACACTTTGGACTTGAGAAATTTAAAAATTTAAAGTAATACAAGTCTGTATTGTCAGCATTTTGTCTGATGTATAATTATAACCAAAATTTATTGTATTTCATTTCATCCTCCTTCATATGTGATTCCATTTATAAAAAACGTTTCGTCTGAAGAACGAACTGCGTCACAAAGAATTTTCTTTTTGCCATTCAATTACCTGTTATTTTCTTTGCAAATCTATATAAATGTGAATGTCACGGTGTCACACTTTTTCAACTTAAGTCCTAGAGAGCATAGCCCAACATATACCATATTGGAATCAGGCCGACTTTGTAAGCAAATTAAAACCATTCTGCAATCCTGAAATTTTGGATTCCCAAGATTTCATTACTGTGATTGCTTTTGGTAATTTTTTTTATGTGATTTTTTGCAACAATTTTTTTTAATTTTAACAATTTTTATAACTTGGAAACAAATTTAGGAATAATTGAAATTGTGAAATCCAGTAAAAGTTACCACTGAAATAAAAATAATTGTACAGAAAGTAAGAACCCATGTACATCATATTGTCTTTAAATTAAGTGTTGGCAGAAAAATTATCATTGAACTTTTAAAAAGAAAGCTGCAATATTAATGCAATACTTAAATGCAGTGATCAATTTTTAGTTCTTCTGTAGTTTATTGTTGGCTATTGCATCTACTCCTCCCTACCTATTGTGATGAAGTTCCCAATAAAGAGCCCTCTGCAGAAGCTACCTTGAATGTTGCCTGATAATGCAGCTTTTAAGTTGGTGTTAAAGTGTAACGTAAATTCACAAAGTTGGTTTTGCTTCAAGATACTCGTATTTGAACAATGATTAACAAAACTGTGGAAATAGAATAAGTTTAAATCAGATTCTACTTGCCATGCAAAAAAAAAAAAAAAAAAAAATGAAATAAAATAACATATTTACCATGTATAAAATACTTCCAAAATAATAAAAGTGACAGTTATTTTTTCATATATACTAAGAAAAAAAAGTTGTTGCTGATAACAAAAGTGTTTACCCTGTGGGGAGGAGTGTTTATGAAGTGTCAATGTTGCTCAAATATTGGTCTTTCAAGAAAACTTATACATACACAAGTCCCACTGCCCTCAGTTCTGGGTTTTATAGACAATGCAACCGCAAAGATTTACAAATCTGAGCCATAAAATGTCAAGTCTACTTCAGTCCCTTGAAGGACAAGACTAGAATTAATTTATCTCACAGAAAACTTAATTATTTTATGGGGAGAGAAAAAAAAACCTACAATATAACAATGCTTAAAAATAAATAAATAAATGAAATAACAAAAAAAGGAAAAATAAAAATAAACAAAAATAAAAGTAAAACTAAGAAAAAAATGTTAAAACAACAATCCACAATTTTGGATAAAGCAAGTATACACATTCAAACTGAACTTAAAATAGTGTTCTTTATATGTTTAAAAATGTAGCCAAAGTACACTTTTTACATGAATATAAAATTGTGTTTAAAACTATTATTATTGTCATCAAGTTAAAAAAAAAAATTCTTTCTACTCAAATGATTTTTCCATTAGATATAAGCTGATCCAAAAATGGTTACCTTAGAAGGCACTAAGTGATATTCAATTTTCTATGTTTCAGTGTAGCACCCCCCCACAAAAAAAAACATCGAAAATGAAAATACAAATTTTCAGTTCAATAAACTGTTTAGATAGAGATTTGCAGCATATTTTTCCCCTTACAATCATGCATCACAAAATGCATTGGCAATCTAAGCCCTTTCTCTTTACATTCAATTTGGCTTTTCAAGTTCCAATCATCATAATCAAGGAGAATGACAACGTCTTTCTCTTACCTAAAATTACTATACAAATTCCTTCTTTTCTGCTTATACATAGGCTTTAAAGGATTTTAGAGTTTCTCCTTGAAATATTTTTAAGGGTAATTCCCCCTTTCTTAAAAAACAACTGGTAGGGGGTGTGCAAAGCTGCACCTTGGTTTTTTTTAAAAAAAAAAAACAACGTCAACACAGATGAAATAAGATAGATGTGTCTTAAAGGTATATATACACTTAAGAATGTCAAGTACCTAAAAGTACCCAGTGGGTGTGGGACATCTGATGTCCGGAGGGGGAGAGCAACTTCCTTCTTTCCCTCACCTGAATAAACAGGCAATCAAGAGAAGGCAAGTTATCAAACCATGGAGACAGCAGCCATGTTGCTACCAGGATTTAGGAGTTGGGCACAGCAGTGCTGCCTCTACCCAGCCATTATGTTTCCTTTTACTATAAACATTTAGAAGTAACACACAGACAATAGACAAGAATGGAGAGCAGAGAACTCAACTATTAGCACATAAATAAGATTTACAGGCAGTGCCATAAACTGTCATGAGAGCCCCCAAGTCCCTGTCCTCAGATTGACAAGACTGGGATTTTTCTCACAGGGAACTTTAGTATTTTCCATTAATAAATTCTACTGTGAGACCAAAAGAAGTACACCTTGCTCTTTTTTTCTTATACATATGCATACATAAGTGAAATATAATTTCTAATGAAAATAATTAAATGTCATCAATTTTTTTTAAATACAGTGCTCAATATACTACTGACAGAGCCACATATATTGTAAATGTAGTTTTTGGGATCTTATTAAAAACAACTGCTCAGATAACCTTTTTTCCAGGTGCCCTAAGTAAGTGTGCTACTAGATTGGCAACTAGGACTTGCAGTTTTTCTGCTGAACTAGCTAGACATAACAGTCATTTCTACTCTAATAGTTTTTTTTTTGTTTTTTTTTGCACTTCTCACCTTTGGAATTCCTTTTGATTTCTTGCTTTTCTTTAAATACAATGTCAGTTGCCATCTTCTGTCTTCTTGAAGCCTGTTCCTTTTTGCCTTTCCTCAATTTTCCCCATTTTTAATCTTCTCATTCACTTTCAATTTCTGTAACCCCCTGCATTCTAGTAGCATTGTAGTCTTGCTTGGGGTGAAATGGTTTAAAAAACAAGAACTAAATGTTTCACAGAGCACTATTAAACATTCAGTTATGCTTGTCACGTTTTGAATAAGATCAAAAAAAAAAAATAGTGAGAAAGAGAGAGATTGTATATTTTACCAACAATCATTCTTTTATGCAGGTTTCCTTAAATATAACAGATAATGAGTATTTTTTAAGTTTCTAAATTAATAAGTTAAAATTAAAAGCATAACTTAATTTAAGTAAATTTTTTAATTAAATCAAATTAAAAAATAAAAAAAAAATTACAAAATATTCCTTACTCATTAAAAATAACAAAACATATTCAATACCAAACCTTGAGCTTTGTTATTACTGAAAATCAACTGCTTATTCTAACTATAAAAAAGGTATTAAATAATAATAATAATCATCTCCGCTTTCAGCAAACCCCCTTTAATAGGGAATAGTTTTTGTCAGATGTATGAGGGAGAAAACGCTGTAGTTCTTTACCCACTCTTCTTTATGACTCTTCTTATACTTCTAAAATAGGGACATCTAACCCACAGTCCATGGGTTGCACTGTGACCCACTAATATTTTCATGAAGCCCACTGCACCCGAAAATCTTTAGGTATATTTTCATTTACTTTAATAATGTATGTTGAGAAAATTATTCTCAGATTGTGGTAATAGGTTAACTTCCCCATTGCACTAAAAGGTGAAGGTAGCAAAGACTTGCCAAGACACACCGGCTGGTGTGTGGGGCAAAAGCCAGAGCTAAATAAAAATTATTTAGCTTATCTAGAAAACTGTTATACATATGGGGGTAATACATACTGCTGTGAACAATTCTTTTTGTGCATGAAAATACATCAAAACTGCTGAAAGAAATAGGTTAAGTGATTCCCATTTTTAACTAACATTCTTAGAATAAAGACTAGTATCATAAAAGGAGGCACGGTGGAGTAACGTATAGTGGCTCGGATTAAGGAATTGGAGAGCCGAGTTCAAATTCCAGTCAAATCCGTTACATTCACTTACATGCTAATACCCTTGGGAAAGGTATGAATCCTATTCTTCTTCCTCCAGCTATGGGTAAATAGCAGGACAGACCTGGATGGCAACTGATCTACCATAGAAAGAAATAGCAACCTACTGCAGGAAAAAAAAGAAAGAAAAAGAAAATCAGCCTCATCAGTCATGTATCGAAAGATACATGATTGCCTAAGTGTGTATCATGCATGGCACATAACTGACTGACCATAAAAGCTGATATTAACAAAACAAGATTATAAAAGGAAACCAATGTCAAAATCACATTGAATTTTTTTTTTTTTTTTTACTGTCTTTACTATAGTATTTTTTGTAATTATTTTAACAAAAAAATTTCCTATTAGAATTTGATATTCATAATATTTTAAGCTTTTGAAAAACATTTATATAAAGTAGTTTTGTGGCCCCGGTCGGTATACCTACATTTCTATTTTGGCCCATTAGGAAAATAAGGTTGGACAAGCCTGTAAAACATTTGTTTTTCAATCACAGGTTTTCATATTTTCTCAATGTTCATCCATACTGTAAAAAAAATTGTTAGTGTTCCACTATTGGCTGAAGTTCAACTCCTAACATATTTAAATCATTATGCTTTTTATGATGTTTGATTTAAAAGAAAGAGAATAACAAAATCTGCCGAAATATATATTTATGCCACGTAAAGAAAAATAAATAAATAAAACAAAAATCGTTTGTCTTGTCTGTCTACAGTTGAAAATAAAATTAAGCGTAAGCCTGTCTAGAGATATGAAATATGAACTGTATACCCTTAAGAGCACTGGCGATGATAGCAATCTTAACATAAAATTAATTTTCTGTTTCAGCATAAAGTTAAGTCTGTAACTGGTAGGTCACTAGTATTACAAACTGGCAGAGGCATTTTATAAGAAATAAAGTAACATTTGATTAGAGATATTAA